TCCACTCTGCAACCCTCATTGTGTACTCCTATGATAAAAATAATGCCCTAAAATATAATATTTTTAAGCAAATGTAAACCATTTTGAGTAGTTTTGGTTGATATAGTTTAATGAGGATATAGTTTCATGATCAGAAAATCCAAATGACAGAGAATCTTGAGGGTTTAGGAAAGAGTTTTCTTGGGACATCTCCTCCTGTGCCATTTACTGCCTCTGAAAACTTGCTGGTGGGTCAGCTATGAATAAGTTGAATCTATCGTCCTAAACAACAACAAATTTTGCGTTAGAATTCTAGATCCTCAACTTGGAAATTTTGAAGGGAGGAAATAAAAGCACAAGAGTGGGAGGAAAACCCACATGACTGATGTAGAGGACGTGATTTATGTCACATGGTTAAGTTGCTGAGTGAAGCCTAGATATTTGGGCTTTATCCAGTGACTTTTTAGATAAAATTTTTATTTGATACTGGTTTATGTACAGAGTTCATATACATTATTATACACACCAGATTTTTCCCATTTGCTTTACCCACCCCACCCTCCTTCCATCAAACTGTGAGACTCCCTGCCCATTCTCACCACTCTGCTCCTACCTTCCCCCCTTGGATCCTCATGTACGTTTACCTAGTTAACTATTTCTACAATAATGGTCTTATACAGTATTTGTCCTTATGGGACTGAGTTAGTTCCCTTAGAATAATGCTCTCCAGTCCCTTCTAAGTTAGGTATTGATTTTCAAAATCATTGTTCCTCATGCTGCGTAGTATTTCATCATGTGAATGTACTATAATTTCTCAATCCATTTGATTATGGCAGGACATTTTGGCTGTTTCCACGTTCTTGTGATGGTGAATAACGCTGCTGTGAACACTGGTGTACAAATCTCCGTTTGTGCCTCACCAGTCCTTGGAGAGGGGCATCATGCTTGGGAGGGTGGAGGGACAGCGCGGGAGGGGAAGGCCCTCTATGAGGTGGGTTAATTCAGCGACTGAGGTAATAGGGATGGGAGTGTCAGAGACAGTGTGATTGGCACAGGACACTGCAAAGTTTAGGGCTGTTGTACATAGCGTCGCTATGAGTCGCAAGTGACTCGATGGCACATAACAACAACAACAACATATTCCAAGCATTGGACTAGCTGGGTCATAAGGAGTTTCTTTGTTCAGCTTTTTGAGGAAACACCAAACTGCCCACCAGAGTGGTTGTACCATTTTACTATCCCACCAACTGTATATAGGAGTTCCTATCTCTTCACATCCTCTTCAGTATTTATTACTTGCTGTCCTGTTAAATTTTGCCACTACTATGGGGATGAGATGGTATCTGTGAAGAGACTTTTAATTAAGTTTTATAAAAGAGTGTAGGACTCCAGTTCTTAATTCAAAATGACATGCCACATAAATATGCACACAAGTAGATATGTGAAATTTTCTTTCCTTAGACAATGGGTTTAAAAGCAATGTGCAAATGATACAACATGTTTTAATCTGATGTTCATATGTTGTTACTCTCCAGAGTTTTACATTTAAAATAAATACATTTAAAAAGTCAGTGTTCAATCTCTGAGTTATTTCAGATATACTTAGTGATACAAACTACCTCAATTAAACATTTAATTTCACATATGTCTTTTAAGATACCTGTTCTTAGCAAATGACTTTTAGAAAAGTAGTTTGACTCTTTGAGGTTATAAGAATCATCTCTGAAATTGTTTAAATTAAAGTTTCTGAATATCCAGAGATTCTATCTCAACAGGTTGGGCTTTGGCCCTATGATTCTCCATTTTTTTTTACGCTAGAACCCAGATTATTCTGATGAAGTGGCACTAAAATAACACCTGAAGAAATGTTGTTATAAAAACAACCTGGGTGAAAAAATAGGGTAATGATGAGCATGATCCAATGGTGATTAATTTTATAAAACATAAAGCATGAGAATGATTGTATGATACACAATATGAAGAATGATGTGAAACACAATGTATATGAACTTTGTAAGCAAACCAAAATAAAATAGTTTTTTTAAAAAAAAGCCCCACTACCAACTCTTAACAAACTCTTCCACTCCTGTGAGTTCTAGATATAAGTATATTTTCTTTTTTATTCCATGATGTAAACATGAAACCATTTGTTCAAAAGGCATTCTCTGAGGCCTACTCTATGGCCAGTAGTGCTCTAATATTATCAGTATATCATAATAAGTATATTATGAGTATATCATTTCTCTCTTTGAGAATCAAAAACATCATATCAAGCATCTTTATAAAAATTATCCTCTATATATAGAAACTTTAAAAAAATCAGGCTGAATTACAAATGCTGAAGTACACAATACTTTCAGACTGCATATATTCATTTCTGTCAATGTACTGTTCCAGTCATTTTTTAATAACTTTCAGCAGGATATTGCTTGCATGTACATCATTATTGGTATTGTTTGATAATTTCCACATTTTGTCAGAATGGAAATCTTTTTTTGGATTGGGAAAAACATAGATCTCTTCCAGTCAATTTACCAGGTAGTTGTCCTCCAGATTTCTTAGAACAACCTGATGAGCATGTCCAGGGTAGCTTCTGTTTGTTGAAATAGGTCAATTGGTATCCCATCAATTCATGGGGTCTTATTATTTGCCAATTCTTTAATTTCCTCCTTCAGCACCATTGCCTCTGATCACATGTTGTTTTATGAAATTGTTCTGTCAGGCAATTCTTTTTGGTATAGGGACTCTGTGCACTCCTTCCATCTTCTTTTAATGCTTCTTGGATCATCAGTATTCTGCCCATCCCATCCGTAAGTATTGAAACTCAAGGCTTGAATTTGTTCTTCAGTTTCTTCAGCTTAAGAAATGTCAAACGAGTTTCATTCTTTTGATTTTTCCAACTCCACCTCTTTGAACATTTCATTACAATACTTTGATTTGTCTTCCCAAGCTGCCTTTTGAAATCTGCTGTTTAGCTCCTTAACTTCTCCCTTTGCTCTGGCTTCTTGGTACTCTAATCCAATATTTAGAATCTCTTCTGATTCATCTTGGTCTTTTCTTCCTCCTCTTTGTGATGACTTTTTTGCATTTTTTTAAGATAATATTCTTGCTATCCTGCTACAGCTCATCTAGTCTTCATTCATTACTATTCAAGGCTTCAAACCTGTTCTTGAGATAATTTTGTTTGGGTTTTGGTTTTTTAGCTATTGCAGAAAGCTTTGTTCCCATTTGGTCCAAGGCTTGGACTAGGAGCTTCTGGGTAGATAAGATTCGACCCCAGTTTGGGAAAGAGAAGCTTGCTGCTTATGGCAGGGGGACACAGAGATTCCTCCTGCAGGTCCCCACAGGCATGTGTTCATGCTTGAGGGTGAGTTGCTCTAAGAGATACTTGCCCAGCTAGGCCTGTGGTCACTTAGTATTCTAATATTGGTCTGATGATCACCTATCTTCTTCAGCAGTTTTACTTCCTTATCCAGGAAGTAGTTCTCCAGAAGGTCACAGAGGTCTGTGGTAGAACCCACAGCATGCATATCCACAAAGGCCTGGCTCAGCTTCTTCTCCAAGGCAAAGGCTGCTTCCATGGTGTCCAGGATTTTACTCCATTCATCTTGGGATGGCTTCTACACATCTTGGAAGAGGACATGACTGCTGCACTGATTTTTCAGCTTCAACAGACCCTCAGAACCCTTGTGCTTCTCCTTTGTCATCTCGCAGAAGTATTCCATGCCTTCCAAGGCCACATTGTCATGGTAAAAATAAAAACCCAGAAAAAGGTAGAAAGCCCACATATGCAGGTTGACCAGACTTTTGACGCAGGCCTCCACTTTGCAGAATAACTCTGACAGATCTGAGAGTGAAAGTTTGAAGAAGATTTGGGACCAACAAAAAAAACAGTATTAGCTAGTCCAGAAAATAGGAGATAGCTAAGAAGATGGTACCGAGGTTATGCATGGAGATGAGGCTGGAGGGTAGTGGAAGGCTGGAGGTGGGGAGTCGCTGGGTCTGTTCCATCCAAACACTGCTGATGCAAGAGACAGATCCACAGAACCTCTGGGGAACTCCTGAGATGGTTTTTTAATTCAGGTGGGACAGATTAAAGATCAAGCTGTGTTTAGAAGAGGCCATGATATTAGAGACATTATCATCAATGTCAGATGGCTCTTGGCTGAAAGCAGAGAGAACCAGAGGAATGTCTATCTGTGTTCCATTGACTATGCAAAGGAATTTGACTGTGTGGATCACAGCAAAATGTGGCTAACCTTGAAAGTATGAGAAACCTAGAATACTTTATTGTGCTCATATGAGACCTAGACTTGGACCGGAAAACAGTCATCAAAAGTGCATGGTTTGAAAACAGAAAAGGAGTGTCTCAGGGATTCATCCTGTCTCCACACCTTTTCAATCTGTATATGGAACAGACGTATTTGGGAGATTGTGCTTTATGAGGAGGAATGCGGCATCAGGATTAAAGGGAAAACCCATCAACAACCTGCAATATGCAAATGACACAACATTGCTTGCTGAAACTGAGGAGGACCTGAAGTGCGTGCTACAGAAGGTCAAGTACTGTAGTCTTCAATACGAATTGAAGTTCAGCATCAAGAAGACAAAGATTCTTACCCAGTGGGCCAATTGGCAGCACCATAACAAATGGAGAAGAGATTGGAGTTGTTAACAATTTCCGCTTGCATGGCTCCATAATCAAGAATCTTGGCATGAGCAGTGAGGAAATTGAAAAAATGAACTGCATAGGGAAAGTCTGCTGTTAGGGACCTCTCCAAAGACCTAAAGAGAAATGATGCTGGTCTAGGGATTAACATAAGCCTGCTCCAGGTCATGATCTTCTCAATTACTTGCTATGAATCAGAGAGCGGGACAATGGCTAAGGATGACAGCAAAAGAATCGATGTCTTTGAGTTGTCATGCTAGAGAAGGGTATTGAAATGAACATGGACCATGAGGACCAAGAAAACAAACAGGTCTGTCTTGGAGAGGGTGAAACTTGAAGTTTCTCCTTGAAGGGAAGGATTTTAAACCTCCATCTCACATACTTTGGGCACATGACTAGGAGAGACAGATTCTTGGAGAAGGACAATATGCTTGGAAAGGCGGATGGAGAGCACAGAAGAGTAAGACCTCAGATGAGATGGATTGACACAGTAGTGGAGGTAGTTCTGTCAATGTCAGTGAGACTGGCTCAGGCTAGGGCAGAGTTCAAGGCTATTGTACATAGGGTTGCTATGAGTCACAGGTGACTCAGTGGCACATAACAACAACAGTATATTCATTTAACTTTAAATAATTGAGAGGTGATTAGTTTGTATTTTGTTGTTGCTGTTGTTAGCCAACTTTGAATCAACTCCTATCCATAGCAATCTTGCAGTAAAACAAAACAAATCTACCATAGCAACCCTATGGTAAAATAAGACAAACTACCTATTCCCTAAACATCCTGATAATCTCCACTATGCTTGAGTCAAGTTTTTTGTTTAAAACATATCAAATTATTCTTTTCCATTCTCTTTGCTCTTTTGAAGAAGAAAAGGCATGAGTAACCATTTCAAGAAATACTACATAACTTGGGAGAGACTAGACGGCATTAAACTGAGTGAGCTCAGTCTCATAAGGACAAATACTGGATAAGATGGTGGTTGTAAAAATAGATACTAGGAGATACTAGGAAAACATGTACGGGGAACCAAGTGGGGAAGGGGTGGGAGCAGAGGGGTGAGGATGCGCAAGGGCAAAACCACTGGTTGCACAGTTTGGTGGATGGATGCAGGAAGTAAAGGAAAAGAGAAAGATCCAATGGGGACCTTGAAAAGACAGGGTAATGATTGGTATAGTCCAATGGTGATTAATTTTATAAAACATAATTCCTGAAAATGATTGATTGTATGAAACACAGTGTGATTGAAGAATAGTGTGAAACACAATGTATATGCATTTTGTAAGCAAACCAATATAAAATAATGTTAAAAAATTAATATGTGTGTAAGCAAAATGTACAATGGAATAATCCCTAAGTATAAAGAACAATGATAAGTCTGTGAAACATAACATGTAATATTAGAGAAAATAGCACTAAATTAAATAAGTAAATTATATAGGACAAGTATTATATGAACAAACAAGTTGATCCTGAAGAGGTTGAAACCAAGCTGCTCCTGGGAGGCAAGGATTCTGAAGCTCTCTCTGACATACTTAGGTCATGCTGCAAGGAGGCGCCAGTCCTTGGAGAGAACATTATGCTTGGGAGGGTGGAGGGACAGCCCAAGAGAGGAAGACCAATCGATGAAATGGATTGACTCAGTGACTGGGGTAACAGGGATAGGTATATCAGAGACAGCAAGGTTGACACAGGATAGGAGACTGTTCAGAGCTCTTGTACATTGGGTCGCTATGAGTGGTAAGTGACTTGACAACACATAACAACATTTTCCTAAAAAGACAACACAGACATATAGATAGAGAGCAACGATAATTGATGGTTACCAGGGATGGCAGGGAGGAAAAATCACTCTCTAAATCAAGACAACTTATCATTTCTGGTGATGGGAAAAGCAATGTATTTATAATACATTTTGTAGTATATGTACAGGAATAGAATGTATAGACAGGCTTAGGTGTGAATACATGGGTGCACAGATAAAAGTATTTATATGCATGTACAGACGAAAGTATTTATAAATGTGTGTGCATGCAAACAGAGTGCATACATAAATATGCAGAGAGGACACAGTTACAGAAAATTGTCAAACAAAACCAAATACCTTGCAAGACTGGCTCAGGACGTTAGTATCAAGGGACAATTCATGTTATGCATCCTAGTGAGATGAGTAGAATCTGGGGTTTCAAAAGTTTGTAAACAGCCATCTAGTAACAAATATTGGTTTCTACTATTTATGAGCAAAAAAGAAAGGAAATCATAGTCTCAAAAAAGAAAATAGAAGGAAAAAAATATTAGTCTGTAGAGTTTACAGAATCCATTGTCTTAAATAAAGACCAAAAGAACTAGATGGAGCCTGGTCACATCTGACAAATCTGGTTAGAGTCATAACAAATGAGCCTTATAAAATGGGAAGAAAATACAGAATAGAACTCAAATTCTTTAAATTAGAAAAAAAAAGTCACACTTAACTGAACCAGTTGTGATTAAAAGGATTCCCTGAGATTATTGATTTGATATAATCTTTAACCTTGAACCATAACTATTCACTGAGGTGATATTTTAGTAAAATAATAAATTGACACACAATGTAAAGGATATTACTCATATATATGATGTTCCTTATGAGACCAAAAGGTCAAGAATTACCATAAATCAAAGATGGAAAGAGGGCAGGGAAACTAGAACATTAGAAACAGAACAACTATAAAGCAATTAAAGAATGTTGACATATTGTAAAAATTATAACTGCACTTGACAATTTGTATGAGAATTGTCAAGGAGGAACTTAATGTATGTAAACTTATACTGAAAATAGAATAAAATATTATTTTAAATTATTCTAAACAACTAGACATTGACACAAATAAAACAATGTGACCATTGTTTATATACACTAAAATATAAAGAATTAAATAGCAAAGACAATTGTGAGTCACGTGTAAATAATTATGCAGGAAGGCTTAAATGCTATTATGAACTCTAGAATTTATGGTCTACATAAAGGCCTTATTGAGTTACTCACATTTAGAACATGACTATAAAAATAAAATCAATAATTAAGCAATGGATCATCTACTTTCCACTTCTGGTAATAACTTAAATTATTGATGTAACAGTTGTACAGATAATATCTATCTAAATTATCTTGTTCTTGTTTTGGGATTTTTTTCTTTATTGCTATGTGCCATTTATTCTATATAATAATCTTAGGAGATTTAAGAGAAAGTCACTTTGCATAACTAATTCCCTATGTGATCTATTGCCTTTGGAGTGAACATCAAATAGTTGAGCAGTATGCAGAATATGGAACATGTGGCCTAATGCTAAGGAGCGGTGCTATCAACCCTGAAGAAACACAGTCTGAATCCATCAGCAGCTCTAGGGAGGAAAGATGTGCAGTCTTCTCCTGTATGATTTACTGCCTCTGAAAACCCACTGGAGGGTAAGCTGTGAGTCAAATCCAACCTGGTGGTGCACAACAATAACAGAAATAGAGCAAAACGAAAAAGGAATAAAGTTACTGCTTATAAACTACTCTATATCCCATTTAAGAGTGCCTGATGTATATGTTTTTACTCACGTTAAATATTG